TGACTTCATCATACATTATCCCAATACTATTATTTCTCCTTTCAAGATTAGATCTAGGATGTGATTTGTCAGGGAGAATAAAAATTATCTGCCTGATAACCTGGATTATCCATTTTTAAGGATGTTTAAGCCTTATGGTTGTCACACAAGAACCCTCAGAGGATGTTCAGGGTCAGATCCTCAGCCCCATCTGGCTGCTCCAGTGATTCAAAACTACCCTAACAGCAGTTAAGCAACATTCTGAGGAATCTGCTCTACTGGAGAATCTTTAGGTGGTGAAAGCTGCCACAGTGGCGCCTATGCTATCCTCTCTCACACCAAAGCACCCCTACATGTCAGTGATCCCTGGCTCCCAGAAGAACCCCTTTGGGGCCATGGGCAACCAATCTAAGTTACAGGAGCCCTGTGGCTGTTCTAACTTGTGTAGGGGATCTGGTCAAAAATGGACCAGCCTCAGGATCCAGGACTTGTAAAGATGAATTAAAGATAAGTCAGCTTTGTCCTTCCCACTCAAGCTCCCTGGTCTTGCACAACACATGGCTCAGTTGGCCCATAAGCTCTGGCCCTAAGATCTAATTTTTTGAGAGCTTATGGCTATAACATTGGTCTATAAAATCATAATACTAAAAAGTCTGATGTTGATCTAATAAAAGATACACTGCATTTTATACTAACTTGTATAAAGTTTCCTTTGCAGGCTGTGTTGGAGGCCCTCCTTCATCTGTGATTCAAAAAATAATTTCCTCCTGTCTATATGTCCCTGAAGCTGACAATTCCCAGCAGGAACTTCAGCCATCGTTTTGATTGTTTTGACATAAAGATTAGCTTCTATCTAAAAGAATCATGATGATATGACTTTCTTCTTACATTTGAAATTGTCTACACTATGAAATTATGTTGACCTAACTTACAGCCATCGCAGTTACTTGTGTGTGTGTACACTTGGGTCCTTGTGTCAGCGGTGTGTGTCCCCACCAGGAGCACTTGTATTGATTGTATTGTCAGTGTGGGGCATTGTGAGATGGCTCCTGAAGACCAATAACAGTCAGCATAAGAAACACAGTATCTACACTGATACTCAGGAAGGTGGTGTTACTAAATGGACATAGAGAGACACTTATGTTGGCAGGAGCCAAATTTAAGCACAAAACTTCTGAGTTCTAATGCTGGCTTTTGTGACCTTGAGCAAATTACTTAATCTGACTGTGCCTCAATTCAAATTCCTTTAAGGGATCCTGTGTATTCTAAGAGAAACTTACTCTTGCTCTTCATTGTACAAGAACAGGTAGCTATGAATGGTACTGTGCGAGGGAAAATTACTGATTTGTAATTATAGTTAAGTTTTCAAGATATTGTTGACTTTATAAACTATTTCACTATGGAAATGCCCCTGAATACTTTAGGAAGAGGAACTTCAGAGAACGATTCAAATCCCTTTCCTTTAAAAAAGCAGATTTCTAATTACCATGAAAGATAACTAAAATGAACAGTTACTCTATGGCACTGTGGTGATGAAAAAGTACAGAAAATAATTCCAGACACAGGGTAATTTTTTTTGCAAAAATGCCTAAGTGACTTAAGTTCCTAAGTCCCATTAGGACCCTTAGCGGCTCCCTAAGTCACTTTTGAAAATGATACTTAATTGCCAAGGTCAATAGGCACTTTGAACTTTTTACCCTCAGTCTTTACCATGAAATACTGTAATTGTCTGTGATTCCAGTCTTACAGAGTGACTGGCAGTTTTATTTGATCTTTTTTCATGCTAAATACGTTTTTGTTTTTAGGGGGAAAAAATTAAATTGGGATATGCAGAGCTAACATGTGCCCCCTCTTTCACACTGGAAACTAGAATGGATCCCTTGCAATATAATATATAACAAAAAAAAAAGGATTCTTCAGGACAGTATGTTTAAATCTGGATTCAAATACTTGGTTGATGAAACCCTCCTCAACGGCCAGCATGAAATCATGTAATTTGAATGTTGTTTGCACAGCATTCTTCAAATTTTGCCCATCTTGTTGTGAAAAGAACCATAAGATGAAATTGTGTATCTGTGTGTTGAGACAGACTGAGAGGAAAACAAATAACTGAGCCCACACTCTTACATTTTTCCATACTCTTTCTTAGATTTCATCTACTGTTACCTAAATAATTAACAGAATATTACTGTACAGATAAGTCTCTGGAGTGGATTCAGAATATATTTTGAGACAAGGAAAGCAGATTGATTAATTGTATAAATAAAGGAAGACTTGCTAATTCATCAGTAGAACAGTAACATGTACTGGGGAATGGGAAGAATCCCATTCACTGTTACAGACTAGGGACCGAATAGCTAGGAAGCAGTTCTGCAGAAAAGGACCAAGGGGTTACAGTGGACGAGAAGCTGGATATGAGTCAACAGTGTGCCCTTGCTGCCAAGAAGTCTAACGGCATTTGGGGCTGTATAAGTAGGGGCATTGCCAGCAGATCGAGGGACGTGATCGTTCCCCTCTATTCGACATTGGTGAGGCCTCATCTGGAGTACTGTGTCCAGTTTTGGGCCCCACACTACAAGAAGGATGTGGAAAAATTGGAAAGAGTCCAGCGGAGGGCAACAAAAATTATTAGGGGGCTGGAGCACATGACTTACGAGGAGAGGCTGAGGGAACGGATTGTTTAGTCCGCAGATGAGAAGAATGAGGGGGGATTTGATAGCTGCTTTCAACTACCTGAAAGGGGGTTCCAAAGAAGATGGATATAGACTGTTCTCAGTGGTACCAGATGACAGAAGAAGGAGTAATGGTCTCAAGTTGCAGTGGGGGAGGTTTAGGTTGGATATTAGGAAAAACTTTTTCACTAGTAGGGTGGTGAAGCATTGGAATGGGTTACCTAGGGAGGTGGTGGAATCTCCTTCCTTAGAGGTTTTTAAGGTCAGGCTTGACAAAGCCCTGGCTGGGATGATTTAGTTGGGAATTGGTCCTGCTTTGAGCAGGGGGTTGGACTAGATGACCTCCTGAGGTCCCTTCCAACCCTGATATTCTATGATTCTATGATTCTACTTTAATGGGGATATTTAGGGATCTGATTCAGCAATGTGTTTAACCACATAAATAATCTTACTAGGTGCTAGAACAAGTTTTATATTCAGTAGTATTCAGAAAATACAAGCAACATGATTTACTAGCAGACATGCAAATCTGCTATCTGTAAGCATAGGAAGTAATTTACCTGTAATTAATTGTGCTGGTCAAGTCTGCATAAGTTGAGGAAAAGATGGCAGTGAATGTAATTTGCTTATCGGGAGCATCTTGTCTCATTTGTCAACTTTTGGCACCCTCTTTTGGACCATTATACACCCTCCCTACCCCTTTGCTTCCTTGGTTTGTTTCTTGAGATGCACACCAAATTCTTGGAAGAGAATACATATTTCAGTCCCTTTGCATAAAAAGTGATGATTGGAAAATTTCAATGAAAAACTAAAACATTCTAATTTTTTTTTTTTGCATTCTCCCTGCCCTCTCCCATTTTTCAACTAGCTGTATGTTTTGCAATGATATTTTGTCATTATTTATGTGATTTCACCCCAAGCTATACTTTAGCACCTATAGGCCCTGACTCTGCAAACCCTTATACATGTGCTTAACTTTATGCATGACAGTAATCCCATTGAAACCAATGAGATTAATCATCTCTCTAAAGTTAAGCATGTGCATAAGATTTGCAGGACTGGGGCCTCAAATCTTGACCAATGACTTAGATATTGGCATAGAAAGTACGCTTATTAAGTTTGCAGATGATACCAAACGGGGAGGGATTGCAACTGCTTTGGAGGATAGGGTCAAAATTCAAAATGATCTGGACAAATTGGAGAAATGGTCTGAGGTAAACAGGATGAAGTTTAATAAAGACAAATGCAAAGTACTTCACTTAGGAAGGAACAATCAGTTTCATACATACAAAATGGGAAGAGACTGCCTAGGAAGGAATATGGTAGAAAGGGATCTAGGGGTTATAGTGGACCACAAGCTAATTATGAGTCAACATTGTGATGCTGTTGCAAAAAAAGCAAACATGATTCTGAGATGCATTAACAGGTGTGTTGTGAGCAAGACACGAGAAGTCATTCTTCTGCTCTACTCTGCGCTGATTAGGCCTCAACTGGAGTATTGTGTCCAGTTCTGGGCACCGCATTTCAAGAAAGATGTGGAGAAATTGGAGAGGGTCCAGAGAAGAGCAACAAGAATGATTAAAGGTCTAGAGAACATGACCTATGAAAGAAGGCTGAAAGAATTGGGTTTGTTTAGTTTGGAAAAGAGAAGACTGAGAGGGGACATGATAGCAGTCTTCAGGTATCTAAAAGGGTGTCATAAGGAGGTGGGAGAAAACTTGTTCATCTTAGCCTCTAAAGATAGAACAAGAAGTAATGGGCTTAAACTGCAGCAAGGGAGGTTTAGGTTGGACATTAGGAAAAAGTTCCTAACTGTCAGGGTGGTTAAACACTGGAATAAATTGCCTAGGGAGGTTGTGGAATCTCAATCTCTAGAGATATTTAAGAGTAGGTTAGATAAATGTCTATCAGGGATGGTCTAGACACTATTTGGTCCTGCCATGAGGGCAGGGGACTGGACTCGATGACCTCTCGAGGTCCCTTCCAGTCCTAGAGTCTATGAAATAATCAGTTAACAAGAGGTGCAGAGCTGTTAATGGGAACTGCATGATATCTTTTATTTATTGTAAAAAGAACAGGAGTACTTGTGGCACCTGAGAGACTAACAAATTTATTTGAGCATAAGCTTTCGTGGGCTACAGCCTACTTCATCCTGTTGCATCCGAAGAAGTGGGCTGTAGCCCGTGAAAGCTTATGCTCAAATAAATTTGTTAGTCTCTAAGGTGCCACAAGTACTCCTGTTCTTTTTGCGGATACAGACTAACACGGCTGCTACTCTGAAACCTTATTTATTGTATTTCTTCTGCTATATTTTTTAGGCACTAACTATATTCTGTTCTTCCATTCCAGTTCTGCATTGCATCCAATATGTAATAAATCTGATGTCATGCAAGATGCTGATGAGCAGCCTGCGGACAGGGTGCACAGAAGATCTGCAGCTGAGGATTACATTTCCAACTACATAGGTTTTGACTCACTAGAAAATGAATTTGACTTTGACTACGGCTTATGTAATGAAGTAGTACATGTGGCTTGCTCTCCTAAGCCTGATGCCTTCAATCCTTGTGAAGATATCATGGGATACAATATTCTCAGAGTCCTGATATGGTTTATCAACATTCTAGCTATCACTGGGAACATCATTGTGTTGGTTATTTTAATAAGCAGTCAATATAAACTCACTGTCCCTCGGTTTCTAATGTGCAATCTTGCATTTGCAGACCTTTGTATAGGCATCTATCTGTTGTTGATTGCATCTGTAGATATACAGACCAAAAGCCAGTATTACAACTATGCCATAGACTGGCAAACTGGTGCAGGATGCAGTGCTGCAGGGTTTTTCACTGTGTTTGCGAGCGAACTTTCAGTTTACACACTGACTGTGATCACTCTGGAAAGATGGCATACAATCACCTATGCCATGCAACTGGACCGCAAAGTTCGATTTCGGCACGCCGTGGTTATTATGATTTTTGGTTGGATGTTTGCCTTCACTGTGGCCCTTCTTCCCATATTTGGAGTCAGCAGCTACATGAAAGTCAGCATTTGCTTGCCCATGGATATAGAAACACCCCTTTCCCAGGCTTATATCATATTCCTTTTAGTACTGAATGTTCTTGCATTTATGATCATCTGTGCCTGTTACATCTGCATCTACTTTACAGTGAGAAACCCTAATGTCATCTCTTCAAACAGTGACACCAAAATTGCCAAGCGCATGGCTATACTGATCTTCACCGATTTTCTGTGCATGGCACCAATATCTTTTTTTGCAATATCGGCATCACTCAAGCTTCCTCTCATCACTGTGTCCAAATCCAAGATCCTCCTGGTTTTGTTCTACCCTATCAATTCATGTGCCAATCCTTTCTTGTATGCAATTTTCACAAAGACCTTCCGCAGAGATTTCTTCATTTTACTGAGCAAGTTTGGTTGCTGCGAAATGCAAGCCCAAATTTATAGAACAGAGACTTCCTCATCTGTCCATAATTCCCATATGAGAAATGGCCATTGTACTCCAGCTTCTAAAACCAGTGATGGAACTATTTATTCATTAGTTCCTCTGAATCACTTGAACTGAAATATTTGTGTGGATTTACGTATATGGCAGCATGATTGTTTTTAACTGTGAATTTGTAAAATGATTTTAACGTAACATGTAAAGTTATATTTTCAATGGAAAAACATTTTTATTTTCTGCTGTACGTTTTATTTTTATGAACAGCCAGCTAAAGTGACATATCATCTTCAGTTTTTGAAGGACAACCAACAAAACTTCAGTTAACACTTCTTTGAAGACTGTCTCAAGAATTACATAAACTCTGGAGAATGTATGCTCTCCCCACACTTTTCTAAAGTTGTCCTAGGCTATGTAATGCATTGTGTTTGAGAATTCAGTGTTGAGTAACAATGGCTGAAAGAAAAAAATGCAGAATTAAAATGTTTTGCTGTAAAACATACTAGAGATCTTGTTAAGGGTACAATAACTTGACAAAGTAGTAATATATACTACACATTCGGCTGACAAGAGCTAAAGTGCAAGATTATTTCACTTACCCCCGCACAATGGTATTGGAAGAGGAGATTTTGGTCCACATTGTTTTTGTTTCCATCACCAAAGCAGGGGCTAAAAGGCACCTTCAAGTCAGTACTGGTTCATTTCTGACCCAAATCCATGTGATGGGAAGTGCACATAAAAGTCCACTAGCAAATGGTTGATACACTTTTCCTTAGTGAGCTGAATGTAGTTGCAGAAGTCGCTCTCATTTCAAAACAACATTGGTTGAATCTGGTGATTAAGAGTATTTGTGAGTCAACTTGGGAAGGTTGTTATTATGATTTATTTTTTTCTATTACTATAGTGCCTATGATGACTGGGGGGAGGGGATACAGGCCTTCAAGTTTATCCAGAAGTCAGCCAAATGTAATTGGGAGAACAATAAAGGCCTGGTGGTGGATAGTGGTCATGCTTTGGGTTTAAAACTAGTCCAAACTTAGCAATTTCAGCTGAATTTAACTTTGAATGCTTATGCTTTTGTGAATCTGGAGCTTTAGGTATAACCAAAGGAAAACACAAGCACCTGCTATGAAATGAAACCAGCAAGGTAAGCATAGCTCTGTCTGCCAGTGAGACCTTTCCTGCTAACTATCCTTACAGGGAATGGAAGAGTATCAGGAAATACCAGCAATGCCTTTTTCCTCTTGCTGTTGTATTTTACGGTTTGTTCCTTTGGAGAAAAACCAGCGCTATTTTTGCCAGTAACCTTCCAGCTGGGAGCTGTCAGTTTTGTACATTTTGCAGTGGAAGTAGCAGCATTTCGCTGAGCTTTGTCCTTTTGGCTATCAAAAGATAAAAATATTTTCCAGAGGTTCTAGTAATTACACCTAACAAGCTGCATATTTTATGCTTTGTAATGCATCTCCCTTTTTTTGAATGTACTATTGCATTTAATTGAGCAATGTGGTAATGTTTCTGGTCTGTGTTGAAGAGAGAGCTTGCATACACTCCCTCCCAGGGATTTCACTTAAAAATAATAACCTCTCCAATAATAGCTCAAGGAACACTGGAGGGTTTGTTGGTTTTGTTGCTGTGACTGATCATGATTTTTTAAAAATGTAACACCACCACTACCACCAACAAAAGCAGTGTTTTTATGTCCGGACATTTCTCAGAACACTCAGAGAAAGCATATCTATGCCCCACTATGGCTCATAAAATAAGAAACATGAGAATGCTGGGTGGATATATGATGTTTAAACATTAAATTAATGCTGTTCTACTGGAGAATAATAAAGCATTTAAAATGCCAGATTTATGTTGGAATGATATACATTAAGCATAAAATATGACTTTATTTTTAAGGAGGTTTCATCCTACTTCTCCCAAATTAGCCCCATATACAATTTGATATCATAGAATCATAGAATATCAGGGTTGGAAGGGACCTCAGGAGGTCATCTAGTCCAACTCCCTGCTCAAAGCAGGACCTAATCCCAATTAAATCATCCCAGCCAGGGCTTTGTCAAGCCTGAATCAAGCGTGTGAGGATAAATCCTCTTTAGAAAGGATCATCTCTATGAGTGATGCACTCCTGAATCTTGCAAAGTTCCACAAATATTTCCCCTCCTTTAAACCATCTCTTCTGATCAGCACTCACACTGTAGACCACCAACTTTTGGCCATGGAGAATTGGGTACAGCTCACTTCAGAGCCCTCGCAACAAAACTTTTAAAGTCTTCTCTGTTCTTGAAAAGTGGCCATGTTTGATATTGGTGGGAGTTGAGGGCACTAAGTACCTTGTAGAGATGTTCAGCACCTCTTAGCACTGGATCCTTAAATGGGGGTAGTTCCACTTGCAAATATAATGCCTGATGCAAAGCCATTGAAGTCAATGGGAGTCTTTCCATTTAATTAATTGGGTTATAAATCAACCCCTCCCACAACCCCTAAAATGTTTGAAATAATTTGCATTCTACTTGAGAGGCAGAAAACTTTTGCAGCTCTTCACTGATCAACAGAGTTTTGCTGAGAATGTGGAAGTGCTCAAATTTCAATCTGGGCAAGAAATAAAATGACCTATTATCTTGAATTCTAGTTTCATTTTTCCTTCTAATTTCATGCACGCCCTCCTTGCCATCAGATTCTCAGTTTCCCCGCTGATCCTCTGCTTGTGTCCCAGCATTTTCAAAGCCTTGCCTTCTTAGCTGCTGAGATTATCTGTGATACAAATTCTTCTAGTCCTCATCGATGTTCTTGTTGACCTTATACTAGAGGTCCATTTCATTCACTTCCTGTGCAAATGCCTCTTCATTGAAGTGCCATTTTCGCTTCGGTTTCTGGCTTCTCTTGACTCGATCTTCATAGGCATTATCAACGCATAGTTTTAAGCGCAACATATGATGGTCTGAGCCTGTGCAAATGATTTGTTCTCCTATTATCTCTACATTACTGAAGATTCTTCTGGTATCCATCAATACATAATCAATCTGATTCAGTGTGACTCCATCCGGGCTTTTCCATGTCCACTGCCAACATTGGTTTTTTTTTAAATAGTGTGTTCATTACCTGGAGATGGTTTGCCTCTGCGAATGCAACCCCAAGATGAAATTAGAATTTGCCTCAAGATGAAATTTGTCCTTTTCTGGGTAGCAAACTGACAAATTTTAGGCTGTGGAAGCCAGAAAAAATATTAAGGTGAATACACTTTACAAAGTAAATAATTACAAGAAGAATGAGATGGCTGGTTTTGCTGGTAAGTGAGAATTTTCTGCCAGGCTCTTGTAGGAGTCATTGATATGTGACCACTGCTCATTGTTACATCTGATAAGAAGCATATTGCTTACACAAATCTCCTAGTTCCTGCCAGCTCCAGGAAGGAGAGATAGGGTACAGAAATAGAATTTGGGTATCTCATACAGCACAACAGAAACCACCACTCCCCACCTCAGCTGCACTGTGCTGTCTCAGCCTGGTCACTTGTTTGTGCTTATTCACTTTTTTATTCCTTTCAGATGATGTTAAAAGGTAGAAAGCAAAAAATGCAGAATGTTTCCTATCCAGAGGGAATTAAATTAGTATATACAGAAAAAGGAATAGAATTAAAAAATACAGATTGTCCAAGTGTTAGTTGTTTTGGTGAGGAATGTATATGCCTTCTACTGCATTTGTAATGATTTACACATCAGTGCCCAGGCTCTGCTCAGTTTTTTGTGAGTGCCCAAGGGAGAATGGGTGCAAAGAACCTCCCAAACTTACTCCCTTGAAAAAATCCAGGGCACTATGTCCTTTCCTTATCACCCACCAGTCAGGGTGGAACGTGTGCTGCGCCTTCTAACAAAATGCCACAGTGGCTGTTCTCCCTGCTCAGGCCTCCAGGAGACATTGCATACCCTTTTATTTTTTCCAACTATCATGCACATTTTCCCTCCACTAGTCTGCTGAACTCCTATAGGTAGAAGTACTGGAAAATTCTGCAGGATAGTTCCTGGCTACTTTACTGACTCCATAGAGCATTGTTTTCAATAGTTTATTGAGTCTCATCCATTCAGGGGAGATTTCAGGGGAGATGGAGGCACCATGTAACTTCCCCCCAAGAAACATATGCACACACCTGACCATTGATTATGGAGGTTCCCATTGGCAGTAAGCAGAGAACAGTATGAGTAAGATCATTACCACTCTGATTGAAGGAACTCTTAGACATAAGAACTACCTATTGGTCTAGGTATATTATTACCATACTTGTGGCGATAAGTTTTCTGTTGTTCTTCTTAACAAAGAAAGAAACTTTCTCTGTATGGGCATGTAATTTTGCATTTTACAAACAGAAAAAAAGAGATTACAGTTTGCTTCAATAACAGCTAAGTTACTTGGCTCAGTCTGCAGCTGTGCGTGGGAGAGAGCAGTTTGGAATTTCATACTTTGAATGATTCATTTTCAGGTTTGCCAGAGAACAGCACTGACAAGGAAACTCCCCATATTACTAAAGCAAAGGGCCCAGTGGCTGCACAGAAAGGCACAGGATTGACACTGGACTGTGATGGATGGCAATCACCCACAATGCCTGTTTAGCTGGGAGATAGTGTCATGTCAAAGGTACTACCTATTAGATAGTGCCATCAGCTGTGGTTCTTACTGGGACCATCCTGACCTCTGCTGATGGCATAGGAGCTGATTCTGCGGGGAAAAAATAGTGGGTGCTCAGCACCCACCAGCAGCCCTGTGGATTAGCTCTTCTCCATTCCCCCCAGCACTTCCCACCCATTGGCAGCCCTGCCGATAAACTCCTCCTGCTCCCTCTGCGTGCGTGCCATGGATCAGCTGCTCAGTGGTGTGCAGGAGGCACTGGGGGGGGGAGGAGCGGGGGCAGGAAGAGGTGGGGTATGGTGGAGGTTCGGGAGAAGGGGTGGAGTTGGGGTGGGGCCTGGGGTGGAGCGGAGGTTGAGCAGCCCCGGGGAACAGAGGAAGTTGGTGCCTATGGCTGACGGCAATACCTAATAGGCTGATTTAAATGAAATGGCGGCCAGACCACCCTGTACAGAGAAGGTGATGGGAATACTACACCAGGGCCATGGCACAGT